ATAGATAGATAGATAGATAGATAGATAGATAGATAGATAGATAGATAGATAGATAGATAGATAGATAGATAGATAGATAGATAGATAGATAAGTACAAGAAGAAAAACTCAGCAGGTTATGCATGCATTTACATTTCTCTCCTATTCTTTCTTTATTTTTGAACCATTTTCTTTCATTATAATTATGGTGAATGCAAAACTACAGGTAAAGATAGATTACAAAATACTGATTTTAGTACAGTATCTAAACGGGTATTCATTTGCTCTCTATGGTTTGTTTTTTTATAACTACTGCAATCCATCTGTTATCTGCTAGCCTAATATGATGCATATATACTCATACTTCAACACGGTATTCTTTAAGGCATGCTCACAGGATAAGTGCAACATGGACACATTTGAGACTCTGCCTGGAGGCTGAGGGAGTAGGGCATCTGGTCTCCTAGTGATAAGCATGTGTGTGTGTGAAAATGTGTGTATGAAGGCACGTGCATGTGCGTGTGACGCGTGTTGACAAGGTAGCCCAGTCCGGTCAGCATTCATTAGTGATAGAGAGAATCCCCGAATGAGGAGTGCTGTGACAGGCAGGACTCTCGTTAGGGAACTTAACACACACACACACGCACACACACAGACACACTCAGTAGGGTCAGGCTGCCTTGTGCACAGAATCAGCCCAACATCAATTAGTTCATGGATGCATGCATTATAGACTCTGTGAGTGTGGCGGCTTTGGCGACAGCTATGTTAATGCCGACCCTGTAGGAAATGAAGATTCAGGGCAGAAAAACATGGGACATCGAGGCCACGTCACACATACATGTAAGACTAATGTGGAGAAGATTGTCTTATTGATACAGTAAATAATACAGTGTTGTTGAGACTGTTAACTGCATTAACGGTGCAGTTATAACATTATATATTTATTTTTTTCTTCAAGATGTTGGGAAAACTGCGGTGGCAAAATAGCCAAGGTTGAAAAATGTAGTGTGTGTTTATATTTGTAGCATAATTAGCAGGTGTGTGCTGAGCGGATATGACTAAGCAGAGATGGATAGAAACGGCAGGTACATCCAAAGACTTGGATCCAGTCTGATCTTGTTTCTTTGTTGATGTTTTGCTCAGTTTTATGCAGATGCTGTTTATCTTCTAGAGAGCATCTCCAGTGAGATAGAACTAGTTCAGGATTGGAAATATTGAGCTCATTAAAAAGAAAAAAAAGATTTGATTATTTTCATAATTTTAGCAGTGAGCAGGTTCAGGTGGGGCCTGTGATGTTTGCAAAACCTTATGTGCTCTGATGAATACAGAGTGTAAACGCTTCACATATGTCCTGATAATTAGCACCATTACTGTCTGTTTACTCATTATATATTAACCAATCAACACATTAGGATAATTAAAGGAAGCAGGTTAGGAAAACAGGGCAATGCTTTGGGCAATCATTATTGTCTATGCTCTTGTCAGACTTTGTAGAGGGAACAGTTTTTTTGTCATTATCTGAACATATGGGAGCATGCAGCCCTGTTGAATTATGAACATAACTTGACTGACACGCAGCCATTGTCTGTGTAGCCACCGTGTGCTTGGAGGAAATGAGAGGGTTAATTAACTGATGGGTGAGATGCTGGTGGAGCATACGGGGTGATGGAATAGCTTTTGAATTATGAAACAGCGGAATGCTGTGGCTGGTGGCGTCCGGCCATATGTCAGTGTATGCCTTCTCTGTCTAGCTGGGGACAGCTGGTCAGATTGCTCATGTTCAGCTGAGTTAGGGGCCAATCAATCAAAATGGGGCAGTTTGTTAGGTCGTTTAAGTGGAGGAAAGAATAACACAGAGGAGTCTATTGTGAGTCTATCACTTTAGTGCCATTAGGGATTTGTCAAGAACTGTTAACAGATATGCAATCACACTCCAATGAAATCAGTTGCACCGCTTGGTATTTAGAAAGCTGAATAGGTTTGTAGATTAAAAATAAAAATTGAAGGATTTTTGTAAGTAGAAGGATTAAGTCGATTATAACAGACAGTTTTGAGAAATCAAAATTATTCAAACTTTGACTTTTCTTACTTAAATTAGTTGTTTTGCCACCTATTGTCAGCTGACCAATACATTTTATATACTTTTAAAATGATTTTTTTGTAGTAAACTAGAAATCACAAAAAAAAAACCAGTTTGTAGTTAAGTGCGTCTGTTAAGTTTTTACAGACTTATCAAAGGGAAACTTAAAGTCTCTGCCATTATCCAGAGCTAAAGAATTATGCTCCATAAAAGTAATCTGATTGGATAAAATGCTTGACTACTTTATGCTGGAATGCAAATTGAATTTTCTACAACTTTTCAGACTTCACTAAATTAGGTTTGGCTTGTGTTTTTATCATTAGTTTTAGTGAATTTTCAATTTAAAGGATTTATTTTGACATACAAAAAAGAACAGAACCAATAAAATGCCAGATGACTACACAGGCCTCATCGTCTGTGTGTTTCTGCAGTGTGCATGTGCCTCTGGGTGGCTGTCTGTCCCATTTGCAGGTCTGCGATGAGGCTTTTTGTCATTTCAGATGCTCTGAAGATACGTTATACATATGTTGTGTGATTCTGGTATAAAAAAGGGCCTGTGTGATTCTGGCATTTTCTATAAATTAAAAGGCTTTTGATAACATCAGTTATAAGAAATATCAAAGGCAGAGGATTGTGCCAAAGCAGATATTGCCTTCACAGCATGACATGATGGAAATAGCTGGCTATTGTCTCAGTCTCTGCTGGACAAAAATGATATGGTCACACTGATCAATAGTCTCTGTTACACATGATGTATCTCCCATGGCTGTGGCTGTCTGCTTTGCTCCATCTGTCCCCGGCTGTTGCATATTTCTCCAGCCCCTCTCGCTCCCACTTACAAACTTGATGTGCTTGTTTTTCCGGAGCTGAGTATGAGTTCCCTTGAGAACGGTGAACATTTAGGCACAAAGATGGCTTTTGCTACCTTAGAACTACTCCCCTGATGAAATTGATGTTTGTTTGAAAAGGATGATTGTGTGAAGATTTTATTATCCTTTATGTCATGCACACTTTAAACTTGACATACACACATAATTCTGCAAATTAAATGTAAATGTTGCAGCTTTTCCTATTTAAAACGTGAATTTTGCAGCGCAAAAAAACAAAGAGAGCCACTGAGTTGAGATAAGAGTGAGTGGGCGGTGAGCAAGTGATTGAACAGTGCTGGTCTTTTTAATCTGCTCAGAAAAAAGACGGAGAAACGATGCTTACCAGTCTGTCACTGCTATAACTTATCTCAGAGACCATCCCTGTATTAATTGTTTGTTGCTGATGGACCATGAAATGAACAATTAGGTTGGGACATCAATACATTTCACACTTTGATGCTGATGTGTAATACCAAGTGAAGTGAATCCTAATAAAAGCATCATTATGCAAACATTAAGCACCATTGTATTATTTTACTATTTCTTTTAGACAAGGTCTGCATATAACATTAGTCTTGCATTTTCCAGGCAGATTTGTGTTGTGTATGGATTAATCGGGATATGGTTTGTTGCCATGTGAAATATGGATTTGCACAAATTATTCTGTTCTTGTTGTGTTTAACACACTATCATGGCTTTTTTTTTAGCTTAAAAATGTGATTTTAATTCCTTTAGAATCTTTTAAAGCAGATGAGATATTTAGTATGACCTAATGAAGAATATATTAATTTGTAGATCTTAAAAATAATCACAAATTGGACAGAAGTTTTTAACTCCCTAAGCTATTTAATTTAATTGAATTCAATTCAGTCTAATTATACAGCACCAAATCACAACAACAGTTGCCGCAAGCCGCTTTCCATTGTAATAAAATAATAAAGAGAAAATCCCAACAATCATATGACCCTGTATGAGCAAACGCTTTGGAGACAGTGGGAAGGAAAAACTCAATTTTATAAGGAAGAAATTGGTTTGCAGAACAAGGCTCATCTCTGTGACCAGTTGGGGGTGAGGGGAGGATGACAGGACAAAGACATGCCGTGGAAGAGAGACAGAGATTAATAATAAAAAACTATACAATAAATGTTATCAAAGTGTTTTTATACATTCATAATCCATAATCTTGTAGTTTTATGTGCTTGTAGGTCCTCTCTGTGTGTCTGCAGAATATCATTTACTTACCTAGCAGGCAAATCCACTTAAAATTGGTCTTCTTTGACTTTTTTTTTTAAATTTTCTGAAAATATGATTGAGGTACAAGTGTTTGTCATTTAGTCCTCTCTTTCTTTCTCTCATTATTGTTTAAGGAAATGATTTTTGTTATTTTGAAGTTTGTTAAAATGTCCATCCACTATAAATCAGTTAAATGTTTTGAGGAAAATCTGCTTCTTTGCTGGATAAACTTTGTCAGTTGTTGTTTACTTGTTTATTTGTTGTTAGAAAGAAAAAAAAATAAGAAAAAGATCATATTTTGGAATAGTTAGTAAATCTGTGTATTGCGGCCTAAATAAAGCATCCTAATGTGTATACATATGGCAAACCAAGTGAGCAGATTCTCTCTGTGTGTCAATTCCCAGGTCTGTATGGTGACAGGAAGACTGAGCTGTGACATATAAACAGCTCGCCACAAGACCGTCTGGGCTCAGCAGGAAGTACCTCCATATCTACTTCCAGGTCATCCTCAGACGTCATGTGGACCAGATGCCTGCTCTTGATCTCAACCTTCTTTTCCCCCATAGCCATTGGTAAGGGACACACTACTCATTGCACTGCCCTAACCAAAAAAGGAGAAAAAAAAAACTACATTTAATTTGTTAATTGAAATGTGTTGTATTGCTCAATTATTACTATTGCTACATTAAAGATTTTCAGTCAAATATCTATGTGACTAAAGTCCATTTGGCAAAAGCAAGAAAAACGTTTTGGTCATAAAACAGCATTTGATTATTTTAAGCTATAGTCTGTGTTTTTAATAACTGTATTGACAAGAGCAATAGGTAATGTTAGTTAATTTTATAATAGTCACAATTGTCTGCTAAAATAAAGGCTTATTGCTGGACTTCTTTCAAAAAACAAATAGCATTTGTTGCAAAGAGCTGTTACTCAGCAGGCACAAAAAGCAAGGATACAAATGAGTCTTGAAACAACACAGATGGGATAAAGGAGGCCGACACACAGCGGATAAACAGACAAACCAACAAAGGGATGCACAGGACTACATACAGCATGGGCTGATTACAAAGCAAGGTGGCAACTGTTCAATTCAAGTTTACTTATAAAGCACCACATGACAGCAAGAGATGGCTCAAGGCACTTTATATTATAAGGTAAAGACCTTGCAGTATTCATGAGAGAACCTTAACAATCAAAGGACCCCATATGAGCAATTAGTTTGCAATGGTGGGAATGAGAAACTCCCTCTTAACTGGAAGAAACCTCCAGCAGAACCGTGCTATAAGCTTATCAAAAATGAACGTGATGAGTAGAGTAGAAAGAGCGTAGGTCTCCCCAATCCAAACTGGGAGTTAGTTTGACAGGAGAGGGACCTGATAGCTGAAGGCTCTGCCTCCCATTCTACTTTTAAAAAGTCTAGGAACCAGAAGTAAGCACCGTCTGAGAGTGAAGCACTCTGTTAGGATAATATGATACTATGAGTCTTTAACATATGATGGGGTCTGATTATTTGAGAGTTTGTGTGTGAGGAGAAAGATTTTAAATTCAGTTCTGGATTTAACAGGGAGCAAATGAAGAGATGCTAATACAGAGGAAACGTGGTCTCTCTGTCTATTCCCTGACACCTGATAATAATGAATTAAGATTGTCCAGACTTGAAATAATGAATGCATGAAAAATAGACAAGTGAAGATATATAAAACAAGAGTGAAACTAATCAGGATAGCGCAGACAATCATAAAGGAGTGAAGAGGCAAAGGCACAGGAGACACACAAGAAAAAGCAATTACCAAAATAAGACAGTAAGTGGAAACCAGTAGGACAAATGTGTAAACACATAGACCAGACAGAGATGGGCAAGATGGGGAGACAATGAGGACACCATGAAAATATGAGCATAAGAAAGAATAACAATAAAACCAAAAATAAGAATCAAAACTCAGGGCACCATTTTATTGCACACACAGAAATTTTTCACACGTACAAAATGTTCAGTGCAGATGAAGTCCAGTAGGTCAACTTTATATTTCCTCCTTTCCTACATGACTATAGGCTTAAAAGACTCTGAGAGGGAGCTCTGGCCCATTTGAACTCGGTCCTATTAATAGCTCCTGTCACTCACATTGTGTAACTTTGTAACATGCACTCACGCACAAACACTCATATGTATCCACATTTTAAATAGATGTAGGTCTCTACAGCAAGTGATTCCTGGACCACACACACAAACACACCATCAAGCATGTACTTGCACCAACGTTGCCAGAAATCCCACCTAAACACTAATGGATGCAATTAAAAGGCACACAGGGAGTGCTTATAGTCAGGCATATAAACACCAAGGGCTTGGTTTTGCAGGAAGAGATGAGTTTCAGTTAAATATATTTGCATCGATGTCTAAAGAATGAGTTGATGTATGCAAAGTATGTTCCTTTTGCTTTGTGAGGAAACCTGTACAGCTGAAACAAGGACACCAGCTTGAGGGCACACAACAGCAACCACTCAGTCTTCTCCACAGACCCATATTATTTTAGGATTGTTCAAACAAAAAGACATTTAAACGTGAATCTGGGAATTATTTTGTTTGTTTTTTTTTGGCAGGGTTTTACGGGTTTTTTATACGCTCTATTGGGTGGAGGTGACTGACTGAAGAACATCCAGCTTATTTCCTTTAAGGAACTTGTGTGTGAAGCATTTGCACTGTGAAGCTTTGTCTAATCAGTTTTGCAGAATTTGGCTTATTCTGAGCAGAGAGTCTAGGCCTGTATACTTCAGAATTCACCCTGCTACTTCTATAAGCTATCACATTATCAGTAAACAGTAGTGACCCAATTCCACTGGCAGTCATACATGCTCATGCCTAACCCTCCACCATATTTGACAGATGATGCTTCGAATCATTAGCTGCAACATCATCAACATCTGCAAAAAGCAACTGCTGTTGCAACTAGAGACTGAGGTACAACACATTGAGTGACCTACAACACAAAGACGTCAGGTCTGAGGGGGAATGTCATCATCCCCACTCTCCAAGACTGGGCACCAAGTCCTGAAAACAACTGGTAGATTAAATGCAAGGGCAGCTGACCTGAAACAGAAGACCATGGCTAAGCTGGGAACCTATAACTCTATAAGATTAACAACAGCCACAAGGAGCGGTATCTTCCATGGAGAAAAAGACTTGTGGCCAAGATCAAGGCAGAACAAAGGGACGTTAGCAAACTATCTGCAGGAAGGAGTGATGAAGTGTGATGGCTTCTGGTATACCTTTTAAAGCAATTAGCTTGAACAGTTATACCAGAAGCTGGGAGAATAAACCAAGTGTTCTCCACTGAACCATCCAAGTTATACTCTTGTGCTTCACAGGTAAAGGTGTGGCTGGTTGGGATTAGCTGAGTATGAATTATTGGCAGTCCGCGGCAGTGTCATCATTTATGTCATCTCCATTTAGGTAACCAATCTGTATCTGTCTGTCTTCTGGGTTCACTAGTCACCATCCAAGAAAAATAAAGAGTTGGACAGCACCAGACTCTGGCATGATCCACACCTACTGGCTCAAGGATTTACTTCATTTTGTGAGCCCCTGGAAGCACAAATTAACCAGTTGCTAATGGATGAGGTATACCCGGAATGGCTAACCGGAGGCTGAAAAGGCCTGATCGCTATGGAACCCCAGAAGAGTACACTAAGCGGAAAGAAGGAGGCTGAGGACTAGTGAGTGTCAGAAACACTATCCAGGAAAGAAAGAACAAAGATCCATTAGCACACAGACAGATGGCCACAACTGATCATGTGCTTAGTAAATACCTCAGGCAGCAGAAACCCAAGAAAGAAGAGGCATAAGAAGAGGAAGCATCATGGATGGACACGCTACTGCATGCCATGGTCTCACTGGCAGGTAGAAGAAGGGTGTGATATTAAAAAATCCTAAATGGCTTGACAAAGCTGGACTGAAAGACACCATGGAGGCACTAATTGTGGCAGCACAGACACAAGCTCTAAGCGCAAGATTGATGGAGACTGGGGTCTACCACACCAGGCAAGATCCCAGGTGCAGGCTGTGCAAAGATGCCCCGAGATAATCCAGCACATAACAGGGTGTGAGATGCTAGTAGGCAGGACATACATGGGACCCCATAACCAATCGGCTGACATAGTATACAGGAACATCTGTGCCAAATATGGCTGGAGGTTACTGAGGTCAAAATGGGATACACCCCCTGGTGGTTGACAATGATCAAGCTAAGATATAGATATATATAGATAGATATATGAATATATCTATATATATATTGATAAAACAATGAGGGTACTGCTAGCCTTAACCTTTAGAATATCTTATGCACTTAAAATAAGTTGTTTTCCCTGTAACTCAAAGCACCCCACATTTAAGACATCAGCATTGGCCAAAAGCTTTGGCAGTTCAAGTGAGAGATCACCTTTTAAATCTCTCTTCTCTTTCCTTTCACCCATTCCTTCTTTCCATCTATCCACCTCTTTCGCCACTCTCTTGTTCTTGGCCCAAATGTAAAAATCAATATCCTTTTGTTTCAGCCCCCCGAGGCAATAAGAGTGTCTGAATAAGACTGTCCATACTGTCTGTTGCTGCCAAGTTTCTGTCACCACTTACACAACTAATGACAGACACATTAACATGGACTTGCCAGCTCACACATTATTACATGTAGTCAAAGACAGACAGCTAAATATGTGTGCATAGTGTGTGTGTGCGAGTGAATGCATGTGTATCAGGTGACAGAAATATGTGTAGAGGGTCCTTTGGAGATGGGTTAAGCACAGCAGCTTTATAGGTGAGGCAGCTGATATAATAAGATAAATTAAAATGTGACAGACGAGACAGGATGGCATGTACGAGTCAGTTCATTTACTCCTGCTTACAAAGGCAGAGTGGCTTTTAATGGGAATACAGATAGACCCCTCATTTGAATAGTGTGTGTGTGAGTTTGTGTCATAATGCTTGCTTCATACCCAAAGGGGACCCTGTAAGGCAACACTGTAAGACATCTGATCCAATGCTAGTCTAGACAGCTGCCTTACGATGCTGTTTATTGATCCCCGCATGCTCCAATTAACCCTCACTTCAGAATTTATATTCATGCTCACAGAGTCATGATGCAGCCATTGAAAAACTAATAAACTGACACTTACTTTCACACAGTAATGACCCAGTGCACTAAGACCCCCTGCTTACACAGACAAAACTGCATGATGCCCTGTTAAATCCTCAGCTACTTTGGAGACACACATCCTGTCTGAATGTGTGCTTAAGGTCTAATCATAGCCTGCAGTGGTATACATACGTGTGTGTGCATGTGTCTGTTCATTAGAGAAGACATTTTCAGTAAATGCCACTTATATATCAGTCTTATCTCTAAGCTACCTCCTGCCATTATCAATGTTTTTCCCTCAGGTACCAACACCACACTGATATTGGCTGGCTGTGAATTTCCACCTCTACATTCCATCACTCCGAGCATTTGTATGCATGAGTGTGTGCGTGTATGTGTGTGTGTGCGTGCGCGTGTATGTGCGTGTGTGTGTGTGTGTGTGCGTGTGCTTCCGTGCTTGTGTGTCTGTGATCTGGTGAAGGGCAGTATTAAGTTGAGCCCGGGCACAGTGTCATTGAGCTCATTCAGATTCTTTGCTGCATTTGTGTAACCATGACGCTTCTCTAACCAATGAGAGAGCCAAGGGAGGATGGACGGGGTTACTATGGTTACCATGACAGGGAGTGTTGCCTCACTTTACACAGATGTTGTATGTCTGTGTCTTTTTAATTGCTTTTGTGTCCGTACATTCATGTGTGTATACATGTGCTTGTTTCTGTGCTTTTAAGAAATGATTTGACAGGATATGTTCTTCCAAAAAGAGCGCTGGGTCTGGCAACCTTCCACATTAGTTTTGTGTAGATTTAATAAATGTTATTAGTTTATTCAAGTGGGAAATGCATAATATGTATATTGCATCCTGTATAGCAAAAATTCTCAGATGGTCTAGATGAGCAGTGCTATATATATATATATATATATATATGTGTGTGTGTGTGTGTGTGTGTGTGTGTGTGTGTGTGTGTGTGTGTGTGTGTAATAAAATCTGCATTATTATTATGGAAAGGTTAGGTGGATTCAGACATGGGCAATACAATTGAGCACCTCAGAAGAATAATCCATGCGACACTAACACCCAGAACCACACCATTATTGTCACTGCACTTCTATGTAATAGCTTCAGTCACATGGAGGTATGTATAAGGTGTTTTAGCAGGACATGAAAATAAAGAATGAGAGAAAGGGGAGAAAAGTCCAAATGCTTATGAGCAAGGAGAAAACTTTTTTTAAACTATTTGTGTGGCATTGGGGGGCTGGCTGGCGGGGACTAACTGGAATCCACAGGAAGCAAGGATTAAAATAAAAGAAGTGATGGAATCGCGATAACAAGAAGAATCCAAAATCATGACACTGTTAAGAATACTTTTGATGAGAAGAGTTTGCCTTTCTTCTGATTTTTGCTCATTTTGTTTTTAGATGAAAGGGAGTTGTGTGGCACAAAAGCGTCCGCCAGTGAAGTAAAAAAATATCGGGAATGTTCAGTAACTTCAGACTCATTGAAATTAATGACATGTTCCCTATTACAGTACAGTCGTAGTGGATGTTTGCATCACATTTGCAACTTGTGAGAATAATTAGGCATTGCCATCTTTGAATATTATCTGCAGCACTAAATATCTGTTGAAATTGCCAGGCAATTACTCTCTATCTAGAATGATGTCCAATACTGCTAACTGCAAAGCACTAATTACCAAGTCAGTTCACTCGTGACAGTGGACGTGCCCTTATAAGAAGTCTTTTGTTATGCTATTGTTTTCATATAGTCTGAATAATTACGTCTATATGACAAGGGTACAAATGCAATTTCAGTTTAACACAGCCTATTCTTGAATAATTCAGGCCTTGCAGTCCAAGTAAATTAAAGATGGCTCTACCAAAACGTCTGGAGTATTTCACCAAACAAAGACTTAATATCAATACATATGTCTTTCTGTCCAGTTTATGGCCGTGCCCCCATCCCCATGGCAGTAGTCCGCAGGGAGCTGTCCTGTGAGTCCTACCCCATTGAGTTACGCTGCCCAGGCACAGATGTCATCATGATTGAAAGTGCCAACTACGGCCGCACTGATGACAAGATCTGCGACTCGGACCCCGTCCAGATGGAAAACACGCGGTGCTACCTGCCTGATGCATACAAGATCATGTCACTCAGGTCAGTTTGTATGTACGTGTTTGAGTGAATGTGTGATGTGTCATTTTCTAAGAACTGTAAAACCAAAACTGACAACCACAGTGAACATAATTAATTCTTTGTGTTGCTTTGTTAATTAAGTTTGTCCCATGGTATCCTTTTGGTGCGTGTTGAAGGCTGACTCATGGCACAAAGACAGAGCCAAGACAGGAACAGTGTGAATTGCTTTACTTACTCTAAACCCCAGAGATCCTATCTTTAGTAGGTGTATTGATCCTCATTAAGTACAGTGGTATGAAAAAGTCTTTGCCCCCTTCCTGATTTTCGATTTTTTATATGTTTGTCACACTTAAATGTTTCAGATCATCAGATCAACAAATGTAAATATTA